TTTGCAAATGCTCAGACTTTTCCAAGATACAAACCATCACATTATAAGTCACCTTATCAGGCAGATGGGCAGCTTAAAAATTTAATAAAATAAATAATAGAAGACCTAAGGGTAGTTATTCTATAAACTATGAGTTCTTTCATAGAGTTTCTTTGTACCTTTCGTGCACAAGACTCTTGCTTGCCAACAAAAAAATATTACAGAGAGAGAACAATTCTCATATCACACACTTATTATCGGTGAGTAGAAGATGGAAGTTTTCATTCTCCTGCTTTGCTACTCAGCTCTGCTCTCCAGTCCACCTTCTGGAGAGGACTGTTCCTCTGCTTTCTTGAAACTCTTGATCATCTTCACCAGTGGCAATTATTAGTAGAGATGCACTAAGCACAAGTCTAGAGTTGGAACAGAGTTATTCAGATGTGGCTGTAACTAGAGGCCATTCCTATCCATTTGGAGTGGAGCAAGAACTTCCATGGGGTTGGAAACATCTCTGGAATTTGTGGCCATTTGCTGTCTATGCTGTAGATCTGCTTGGCTTCATATTAATAAATTCCCAGGACAGCAAACGCAAAGCGAGCAAAGACATAATATCAAAATACAATCTTGTTTAAGGACCTCTATTTTTCTTTGCTTTTATTTAATTTTGCAATGGGTTGAATTCTGCTGCTTTCCTCATAAGCTTAACTCCCACACACATCCCTCTCTTTTTATTGGTTCTGAGGTTATATCTAATAGGAAAATGTTTATGGGACACATTTCTATTAAATCCTTCACAAGCCAAGGGTGAAACAATATTTTTTTAAAAAGGCAAAAATAACAAAAGTAAAAAAGCAGTATAAAACAAAAGAAAGGGGAAACCGGATGTGAGGATATACAGATCTCAAATGAAAAGTTAAATATTGGCAGTGCATCTGAAGTAGAGGTTAAATTATAGTCTAAACTTCCAGTTCTATGTCAGACACCAAGTAATAATAAAGATCAATTCATAACTAACTTTATTCACACACACACATATACACACACACATTTTCAAAGCAAATATACAACCTGGGTAAGATGAAAAGTTAGACCAAAAAGTCAGAACTATGAGAACACCATAATATATCTATCTGCAAGTCAACATGATATGGTACAAGGGAGAAAAGCTGGAGAGAGAGTCAAGACTTAGGTTTAATACCTCACAAGGCAGGAGGGAAATAGACACCAAGACGACTTCACAGAATTCGTATTCTGTTACAAGAACCAAATGCCACATACATTTGATCAAAAATGAGAAAATTTTCTGGACAGGGTACCTACCCCCTGGGGTGTTCACTTGTTTTCAAAATAAATGGAAAACAAATATATTTACTTTATTTATAGCAAGGCAAATTCAATTACAGTAATTTGTTTAAAGTTATTAAATAGAAAACTTATTTTGCATTTGATACATTACTCTAGGGCTGTGCCAGTCCTTTGAAGCAGTCCAGATAAGAAGTGCCAACCATGAATACTAACACTATTTATTGTAAGGTTGCAGTAGCAGTTTTGCAAGTCTGAAAGTAGCACTCCCCTCCCTTGCTTTTACTTTCCCCAAAACTAAGAAGGGTTTTTTCTGAGACACTCCTTCCACCCACCCACCCCTCTTTAGACTCAAATTTTGTTTATCAGATCATTATATAGGCTGCAGTTTTTCTCCTGTCTCACAAGGTCATTAATTAAGCAAAAAAGATGACAAGGCTAGCAGGAAAAAAATGAAACATTAAGATGGAATGGTCTGTACTGTACTATGCAGAGTACACAAAACTAAAGGACAGGAAAGACAGCCTGCAAAGAAATCGAAACTCAACATTTCTTAGAATTATGGTTTATGAGGTATTTCAGCATTTTTTTCCCCGACTGAATAGAAATTTCACAACAGGACAGAATATTTTAAAATACTTGCAGGATGGTTGAAACAGACCATTTCAGGCACAAAACAGCTCACTTTGAAGGTGAAATGGTTCCATTCAAAACATTTCAGACACTAAATTAGCTTGAATTCACTTGTCTACTATTCTGGTTTTATTGTTTATACATCAAGGTTATAATTATTACCTATTCTTAACTTTTTTAATATTGTGATTTTTTTAAATACATTGTAGCCTTGGAATAACTCGGTTTTGGAAAGTAATATACCAATGTATAAATAAGCATAATATTGGAATTTTCTTCCTAAACTATGCAAAGAACTTTATCCTGGTCTAGATATCTCATAGTTTCAGGTTGCAGATTGTGTTTGATCTTTGGATCCTAGCACTGTTACAAGGGAGATGCTGCTGCTTCTTTCTTTTTTTTTTTAAATGCTCCTCCATTTCCTATCACTGAATGTTTGTCTCTGCCTCACTTCCAGGAGCTCTTATTTTCTTTTCACTGACAGTAACCAGGCTCTACAGCCTGGAGGCCCATCCAGAGATAGAGCAGAGAGCAACCCCTCCCTTTCCTATCATGGAAAGAAACATACAGCTGCTTCACTTATCTTCCCAAGGGGGAATGAAAGCTGCTGGAGAACAAGGGAGACATCTCTTCATATTTCTTCTAGCAGGCAAGGAACTCCAGTTCAGAGAAGGGAGATGAAATGATCCAGGCCAAACCCGGACAAGCGTTTACAAACACCCAAGAGGCCTATTCTTCTAAGCTCCTTTGTGGCTACCTGTCACTTCCTACTCCTCAGGCAGTGCACCCCCAAGTGCTGGCTGCCATCTATAAACATTTGGTAAATGTGACTGCAACAGGTAATTCTTTTTCAATGATTGGCTCCTTGCCATGTTCTCCTCCCAAAACCTTGGGAGACATTTCTACAATATTCTACCATCAAGCTTTTTTTAAAACTGGCCAGGACATGGCACAGCTGTTCTGGAGTAGAAAGACCCAAGTCCATTCAGTTACTTTGGCACCCGAGCCTCTCACACAGGCATTCAAAGTACAATAAAACAATACATCACTTGCTTTGATGGAATAATCAACTGGCTCTAAGGAAACTGCCTCATTCTTTCTGGCTTTGAGCACCTTTCTCTAACCTGGGTACAAATTCTAAGAGTTATTTAACTAAAAGACTCTGTTAGAACATTTGGATGAATTCAGCAGATTGAATACAATCCTGGAAATCTCAACTTTTATTTTAAGAATTTTTTTGGGGGGGAATGGAGGATCTTATGTTAGTTGGCAGTGTCTACAAAATAAGGAAAGGAAGTCTCTAGAGATGTGCGATAAAGACTGTGGTATGAGGAAAAGAACTTTAGCATAATTATCACGTACATTTTAAGGCTACTGTTTGTGCCATTTCATTTATATATTGGACGCATATTTCCTCATTGCTCATCTCCCAAAGAAATCAAACACCACATGTTATATATTGGAAACTTTTCCCTTACAAATTATATATAGAAACATGTTAAGATTTGGCATAAGGCGCGCCAGTATGAAACAAAATTTATGTATTTTTCTAAAATGAGTTCCAAGCATTAGGATGTTTCTTGAATAAGGCAGCTTTACTTTCCAATGTGACTGAAAAGCATTAGAACATCTGAGAGATATGATGTAAAGAATAGGGGGCAGAAGTGACTAATGCAGCAACATGTGCTCAAGGGGTAGCCTTTTTTTTTTCCCTGCAGGAAGCAGGAAAGTTATAACGGGAAGAAGAATTTGGAGCGAGCCAGGTGTAGCAAAAATCTCAGTTGTATATCATCAAAGATCTGGGGAAATGAGTTTAGAGCAAGTGTAGAAAAGGCATTGTTATTAAAAGGAAATTGCAAATATCTTGAGGAATCTAAGCAGAGCCCTTTAAAAATATTGGTTAAATAGCCAAATATAGATTGCTTCAAAAGAAAAAGAATGGATACGTTTTCCAGATGCCTAGCTTTACTATTTATTAAGGTGCCTTCAAGTCACTGTTGACTCCTGGCAACTGCCTGGATTAGTCCCTGCAATCTTCTTGGCAAGTGGTTTTCAGAAGTGGTTGGCCCTTGTCTTTTTCCTATGGCTGGGAGACAGTGACTGACCCAAGATCACCCAGCAGGCTTTGTGCCTGAGGCAGGAGTAGAACTCATGGCCTTCCAGTTTCTAGCCTGGTGCCTTAACCACTATACCAAACTGGCTCTCTCTAATTTTACTGCTACTGTGAAATTTTTATTTTTTCAGAATTCAGGAAAGGGGTTACACAGATGGTCCTTGACTTGTGGTCACAACTGAGCCCCAATTTTTACTGCTAAGCAAGAAGTGGTTCATTTTGTCTCAGTTGCAATTTAGCCTCAAAATATACACATTTCCCTGGGATGTTCAGTTATGCCAGTTTCTGGGATAAAGCCTTATGTTTGAGGAGAAAACAAAACCTTCTGGCAACAAAACATTCCATCTTGCACATAACTAGGAGGAACGCCTATCAGATTTGCAATAATGATTCTGCATCAGTCATGGATTTAAATGGTTGAGCTCTGAGAATTATCCAGTTATGAATTGTTGGTTTGCTCTTATGTTTTATTTTCCTGTGGCTGATTTCGGGGTGGGGTGGGTGGTAGGGGATCAAAAAGAGACATCCAGTCTTTTACTTTTCTTATGTTAGTATGGAATGTATTAACCCACAATGGAAATAATTGGAGATTCAGAGGACTCCAATCCTGTTACTCTTTGACAAAGCACTGGAGTTCTACCTGTTTTCCTAGTCATTTGGGCCAGGTGGTACTGCTGATGGTGAGTGGGTCAATTGTTTATCTTTGAGCATGGATATGTGTGTATGTATATGTGTTGTATCAGATGATGGTTTATGTTTTAATCTAGTAAGCAGCCCAGAATCATTTGTGTGAAATGGGCAGCTATAAAAATATCATAAACAAATAAACAGGTGTTAAGCAAGGAAGTGGGATTTTTTGGGGGGTCAGTTGCAGAGACTCCACAGACGCAAAGGGAAAAAAAATAACAATTTGGGGTTTGATTCCCTCCCACTATGTTAGAAATCCTGGTTACGTAGCTTTTTTTTATCTTACCAATGTAGAATGTATTAGGAGCGGACTGGTCTTCTAGTGATGACTGCAAGATGACTGAGGTTTGTGAATCATGACGAATCCATAATCCCACACCAAGAATGATCCCTCCTGCCAGCTGAAAAGAAATTGGGGGGAGCGGAGAAGAGGAAGAAAGAGGTTGAGTACATCAGAGATGCCATCAAATAAATGGTAGAAGTTTCATCATATAAACACTTCATTAAAATATGACAAATACTATATATAGAAATCTACATTCTGAAAAAATAACCAATCATCATATGCATAAAAACAAACTTACAAAATTAAGATTAAACAAAAATCCTGACAATTGATTTTTTTGTTTGTTTATCTGTAAGGTTTTTGGTTATCACTTTGGTCTTTTCTCTATTTATTTTCAGTCCTGTCACTTCTCCAAATTCTTCTATCTTTTTCAGAAGCTTGGGGTTTGTCACAAGTGGCTCTTCTAATATAAAAACCAAGTCATCTGAGAATGCTTGTAGTTTATATTTTTCATCTTCTATCTTCATTCCTTTAATTTCTGAGTCTTGCCTAATATTTCTATTTAATACTTCTAGTGTTAATATAAATAATAATGGCGATAATAGACATCCTTGTCTTATGCCTTTTTTAATGTTAAAATTTTCTGTAAAATCTCCATTTACGATTATTTTAGCTATCTGTCTATGATACATTGTTTTAATTGTATATATAAAGTTTTCTCCAAAATCTGTTTCATTTAGTTGTTGAATCATGAATTGCCAGTTTACGTTATCAAAAGCCTTCTGTGCATCTAGGAATATTAGCGTCATCGGCTTCCCTGGGTGCATTTCATAGTATTCCAAGGTGTCTAACATCATTCTTAAATTGTTTTTTATTTGTCTCTTAGGTAAAAATCCATTTTGGTCTGTGTGTATAAATTCAATCAGAAATCTTTTTAATCTTTCTGTTATTATTGAAGCAAAAACTTTATAATCCACATTTAATAGAGACATTGGTCTATATTATTTTATCTGTGTCAAGTCTGAGTCTTCTTTGGGTATTAAGGTAATATATTTGCAAATCATTTTATACTTCCTTATTCTTCCTGGCTTTATTATTTTTATAACTAACTCAAGTCAGTGAGCATAATACTCCTTCCTCCTCTTATTTTCCCCACAACAACAACCCTGTGAGGTGAATTCAGATGAGAGAGAGTGACTGCACAAAGTCACCCAGCCACTTTTATGCTTATGGCAGGACTACAGATCGTCCTTGACCTGACTGTTCAAAGTTACACCGACACTGAAAAAAGTGACTCATGACAGTATTTCACGACTATTGCAGCATCCTCATGATCGCCTGATCAGAACTTGAACACTTGACAACTGACTCATATTTATAACAGTTACAGTGTCACAGGGTCATGTGATCACCTTCTGCAATCTTCTGGCTAGCAAAGTCAAGGGGGAAGCCAAATTCACTTAACAACCGTGTTACTAACTTAACAACTGTGGTGATTCACTTAACTATGGAAAGAAAGGTCGTAAAATGGAGCAAAATTCACTTAGCTGTCTTGCTTAGCAACAGAAAATTTGGGTTCAATTGTGGAGGTAAGTCGAGAACTATCTATGCTGCAGAACTCACAATCTCCTGGTTTCTAGCCTGGGGCCTTAACCACTAGACCAAACTGGCTCTAATATAATTATGAAGGAATCTTTTGGCAACTTAAATAGAAGCCTGTGTTAGTGACGTCTTGCTTTTGTATTAGTGAACGTTAATCCAATTGCCAAGAGACATTAAAGTACCCTTCACCAATTTTAATTTACTTACGGATGAAAGAGAACAACTGCACCCATATGACTTCAGAAAGGCTAAGCAAGCTTGGACCTGATCACTCCTTGAATAGGAGACTATCAAGCAATTCTAAGAAGTTGAAAAGTTGTCCTGAAAGAGGGCAATGGCAAACCATTTCCATATTCTTCATGGATGATTTTTATGCAGGCATAGGAATCAAACTTAACTTAAATGTGACATTATGCTTGCTATAAGCAATTAATACAGAGATGCAAATAATTAAAGTTGACACAGACATTGGATAGGTTTTCCAGGCCATTTGGCATAATTTTTAAAAGCCTTTATTTGGCAGGATTTGCCATGCCATTCAGATGTCTGTGAAGCCAATTCCATCAGCAATAAGCCACCGAACAGAATAACATTTGCAGTGCAAATAAGGTTTATTTCCCCAGCTCTCATTTCTAATTAGCATTTGCCCTGTCTTCTAATTAAGTATTATATATGAATATTGGACAGATAGGATTACATTCCACATTTATTTTCCTTTCCTGTTCCTTTATACATATACATGTTTATATTATTTTAATGCATTGATTTTATTGTGTACTTTTCTTTCAGAAGATTTTGCACAGGAAACTGTAAAATAAACAAGTAATCCTTTTTAATCAATTATCTATGAATTACAAGCCACCTGATTTCACCTTAGAGTCCCAACAATTTTTGAACTGAGGTCAATGCCTATGTCTACAAGTTACACAAAGCTCTATTAATAGTATTTAACAATCAAATTAGTTTAATTATTTAGCTAATATTTAACTATTAGTACTATAGGATTCTAGAATTGAAGAGACATTCTTAATTTCTATTTTGCATTCAGTGCCTAATTCCAAATTCCAGGTCTTGAACAGGAACTGATGTTCCTTGTCTCTGGAACTCTAGTCCCAAAATTTAGACATGGGCAAAGAAACTGACTAAGTAGGTGTTAATGCAGAGATTGAAATTCCACCAGGCACAATGCAGATTTTCAAGCTCATTTTTTTTCAGTATGAAGGTCAAAACATTATTTTTGAAGAAAGTAGAGAACAGAGAAGGAATTGATTTCTGTGCCCAACAATTGTTTGTATAGAATGCTATTTTACATAGCTTTTTAACTATCAAATATATAGATACTGTAGTTATATAGGTGTGTGTATATATAATCTGTGTATATACTATGTATATGTGTGTGTGTGTACACAAACATACACACAAATAGATATATGTAGATAAAATGCAAAATGCCTAGGGGTCAGTCTATTCCAGTGATAGCGAATCTTTTAGAGACCGAGTGCCCAAAAACTGCCCCTGCCCCGCCTCCCCACAGGGCCTCATCGCCTCCACAGCCCGCCGCAGATCGCCCAGGTGGCCCAGCAGCACCATGGTGACCATGCCCTCTGCCCGTGCCCCGCAGCATCAACTGTGCGCAACGGAGCACGAGGGCAGAGTCTTGTCCCCGCTGCCAGGTCCTTGGCTACACTGCTCCGCGTGACCTCGGGGGTGACCTCCAGTGTGGGCTGCTGCTGAGGAGGGGGCCACAGGGGGAGGCGAAGCGGGGGTGACGGCGCATGTGCCCACAGAGAGGGCTCTGAGTGCCGCCTCTGGCATGCGTGCCATAGGTTCGCCACCACTGGTCTATTCAGTGGAAACATTTTTATGGCAGGTTAAATCCTCTGGATTATTGTTGATTAAATTGCCCATTCTGCTTGACAGTGGTGATGTTAATAAGATGTTCAGCTATATCAGTGGATTTTTATTTTAATATCCATTTGTTTTGGGATTAAGACCTCTTCTCTTTTGGCCCACTTGGGGAGCAAATGTATGTATTTGAAATTTTGACAAGTACACTAAAATAAGATTTTCATCTTCTGCTTTGAAAGCTGCTAGATATATTTATTAACAAGTGTGTACATTTTAAGCAAAATTACATGAGAAACATGCTGTGGTACAACTTAAAATATAACAATAACAGGAAAGCTATTTTATTTGAATACCTGAACTAAATAAAGGATTAATTAAAGGCTGATTTTGAATGGCTGATTTGAATTAGGAAATTATGTTTTCAATTTGACTTACTTGCAATGGTTAAGAGTGTTTGAATAGAAACCAACAATTAAATTTTATAAGATATTAAAACATGAAAGTCAGCATTTGTTATATATTTAAATGTGAAATGAAAAATTGGAAATGAATGAACCCAGTGTGATGTTGAATTATATTTCTAAACATGGCATTATCATCTCATAAAGAGCTTTGGCTCTATCAAGCTTGGAATATGGAAAAGAGGATTATTTTAGGTAATTGGAAATAAGGTTGTCCTCCAAATGTTAAGGAATGGATCCATGGCATTAATTTGTTAACCTGTTTTGGAAAAGTCTCTGTGTTTTAAAAGAGAGAAAATGATACATGTTGTATGGTCTTGATGTAATGATAAGTTTCACAACTGAATTAATTTATACGGTTATTTATAGTTATTATATGGCTATTTTCCCTGTTAATTACAGGTAATTTTGTTAAGTTTATTTTAACCACTATATTTAGTTTCTGGCTTTTTTTCCACAATATAATCGCTATTTACCCTTTTCTGAGTTGGTGAAGTAGATTTTTTTTTTTTGGGGTGTATCAGCATTTTAAATAGTTTTAAAAAAACTTATCTAGAAATACCAGTCAGTTTACTAACAACATAAGCAGAAACAGATACATGGTAAAAAGTGCTTCAAAAAAAGACAAAAAAGTCCCATCTGGGTATTTTTGACCTATGAAAGGTCTTTTATACATCAGGATTGTCAAGTAATGAATATGTATGTGTGAATTTATCTTGCTAGCTTGGCAGTTACAATAATTAGCCCCAGTTACAGGATCTGAATAAGAGCACAGAAAGAATTGAAATGCAGAGAATCATAGACAAACTGGGTCATTAGGCAAGAATGCAAATTAAAATGCTAATGATTTCAGTGACAGATTTAAATAGGAAAGTATGAAAGGTGATTAAGCAGCAATGGCACTTTATTACTTTTTATTACTAACATTTCTGTGATACTCAAGACAGGCATACATACAAAAAACCAGAAGATTAAAAACTACCCAATAATAAATATATGCATACTGTAACAGCAAGGACTAACAAGGATAGAAAATCTAAGATTTCCCCAATTTCTTTTTCCTCCAGAACTTTTACTTCTTTACAGAAAACTCACTAGGCATGAAGATTCTTTCCTCAGAGCGACTGTATGACTTTTCATAATCTGCAGAATTAGTGCTGTATAATAAGAAATGAATTGGTATTTTTTAAAGGCTGTTTTGTAA